TTCCCTCTGGCCATCACCATACTATTGTGTGTGTCTATGGTTTATACATATATATTTAAAGAACAGTCATTTGACCTAATTGGAAAGCCATGCTTTATAAAGTAATATTTAAAACATCTTCTCCATATGCTTTTCTTGGTGTAATCAAGCTAGGGATAAGCAGGGGCAGCAGCATTGAATATTTCTTCGACCTTCATCTAAGACTAAAGGAGTCAGTTTTCCCTGGCTACTCCTGAATGCTCCTCTTTCTGTAAATGACTTGGATGCTATATTTGAGGATGAAGTTATAGTTACAGCCCATCAGTTACAGTCCACCCAGGGATGGGCTACTGCTCAGGGCCTTTCAGATTTAACCACATGTTAAATGGCACTAGGTTCACTGCACATGCATTTCACACTGTTCAATGAGATTATGACAGAACCTGAAAATAAAAGTCCTGGCTTATTATAATACTACTTTTAAAAAAAATCACTAGAAAATGGGAAATTCAGGACAAATAATAAATTGGTTGAGACAGTGGACATAATTTGGTACTGTCTCAGGCAAACTGTTACACATAGATACTTTGCCAGACACTTTTTTCAAAAATCTCCTAATCCCCAACCCTTATTATTTTCCCTCAAAAAGACTGTGCCCTCAATATGATTTACTTGTTTATGACTGTTTAGTAATTTCCACAGCATTATGCACATGGAAAAGAATGTGAAATATCCTTCTTAGTCAGTTTTTATTCATTGTGGCCTTTTTTTCTATAACCTTTTCTATTTATCTTAAAACTTTTATTAAAATTTGCATGCCTTTATTTTTTCTGAATATAAGTCTTTTATTAGATATATAATTTGCAAATATTTTTTTATGTTTATTTAGAAAGTTCTGTTATCAAGTTGCTTGCAATTTTTAGTTACTGCCATCGCCAAGATGTTTCACATCTGACACTTTTATTACATATTTAAATATGAAAAGGGTAAATTGTATTTCACTCATAACTTTGACCAAAACACTATATATGGCACTTGCTTGCCTTTTGCTCCCCCGTACCATTTGTGAACTTCCATTAGCATCAAACCAGAAATCCTCATGTAAACTTTAAAACACTAAAAACATTACCTTTAGGAACCACAGAAATTTTAAAACAAAACAACTGTTATGCATGTAATGAAAAATACATGAAGGCTAAATCTGGTGAATCTATAGAATGTCATTCCTAAGATCAAAATTTTTTCCAATAGCCATTTCAAAATAGGTCACCATAAAGCTAGGCACGAGTGTTGCTGCTATGTGTCAGGCAGACAAAAGGTATCTTATTTGTTTTAGAACTGAATATTCTCAACCTCATACTACAAATACTCAAGGACACCTGCTATACTTGGCACTACAGGACAATTCAGTTTGAAAGTGGAAGGTGTTAAAGCCTGAACTATACCTCGACTGAGGTTTGGCAGAAAATTATAACTCCACTCTAATGGAAGCCATAGCGAAACCGATCAAAGCCTAAACTTCAGCAGATATTGGCAATGTGTTGTTATTCAGCAGCTTTCAGCCACAAACCAAAGTCTGCAGAAGGACTCAGATTTCCAAGAACTTCAACACAGCATCAAGATTGTTCTAATTCCTGTTGTAAACTATTTGAAAAAACAAAACAAACAGAAAACAATAAAAAAGACAAAAAAGCATTAAAACAGCAAGTCTTTTGTATATCACTGTAGCATAAGCTGCTTGAGGTTGTCATGAAGAATAGTATCCTTCGCGTCACGGAAAACCAGGCGGATGTTTTCGGTGTTAATAGCAGTGGTGAAGTGGTGGTACAAGGGCTTCTGCTGCTGGTGCCGGCGTTTTTTACAGAAACACTCCACCAGGAATTTTTGGACGTCTCTTAAGCAGTGGGGATCCCCTTCAAATTCTAAGAAATAGTCTTTGATGCTCACAATTTGCACTTTCTCCTCAAGCAAATCTGTCTTGTTTAAGAAGCGAATTATGGAGACATTGCTGAAAACCCGGTTATTGACGATTGTTTCAAAAATGTTCAGAGATTCTGTAAGGCGATTGGTCAGTCGGTCTTCCATAAGCACCTGGTCAAATTCACTTGAGGAAACAAGGAAAGTATTGATGTCACACTGTCGAAGCACTCAAACCAACGTTTCCTTTCTGATCTTTGACCACCTACATCGACCATTTTAAAGGGAACATTTTTAATTTCAAAGTCGTATTCATGAATGCCTTTGGTGGGCCTTCAGGCAAGCAGAATATCTTGTTGTGATGGAACATAATTTGGTTCTCCAAGTTTATCCAAGTTATCCAGGAAATATTTTACAGATTCACCCAGTTGAAATTCTCGACGTCGGTCATAGGCATTCTGTATGCCGCTGTCTGCCCATAACGCTCTTATAGCAGGAAGATATTGTAAAAAAAACTCGAGTTTCCACCAGTCCCTGGGCCACCAAGGGGGAATGGGTATCAAATGACATAATCTTGTCTCCATTGAGTTGGTTTGAGTTATCTCCCCAAGGAATATGAAGCTTCTCTCGAGCATCTGCCAGCACCCTCATACCTTTGATCACGTTGCTGTAGATGGTGGGGCGGAACTCCCCGCGCGCGCGCTCCTCGAAGTCCTGTCTGTGGATGATCCGCATCTGCTTCAGGAAGGTGGACTTGCCACTCTCGCCCACGCCCAGTAGCAGGATCTTCACCAGCCGCTTCACGTAGGTCTTCTCCCGGGACAGGCATTTGTCGATCTCCTTGGACTTGCGCTGCTGCTCGGCCTCGCCGCTCGTCAGCACGCAGCCGGGGAAGCACACCGACAGCACGGACCGCGACGGCAGGAAGTCTGCCATCTTGCCGCCGCCCATAATTTGCAAATATTATCTCCTATTTGTTAGCATGACTTTTCATTTTCTTTTTTTGTTTTCCTTTTTATTGAATCCATGGGGGTGACGTTAGTTAACAAAATTGTAGAAGTTTCACATAATCTGTAAACTATATTGTGTGTTCACCATACCAAGTCATGTCTACTTCCATCACCATTTATCATCCCATATGCCCCTCCACTTTTCCCTCCCCCCTCTCCCCACAGCAGTCACCACACTGTTGTCAGTGTCCATGAGTTTTTTCTCCTTTTTTCTTTTTGCTCAATCCCTCCAACCATCCCCCAGCCTCCCAACACTCTCACCCCCACAGCTCCCAGTCTGCTCTCTATCTATGAGTCTGTTTATTTTGCTTGTTAGTTCATTTTGTTTCCACATGAGTGCTATCATATGGTACACGTCTTTCTCTGACTTGCTTATTTCACTTAGCATCATGCTCTTCAGGTCTATCTATGCTGTCACAAAAGGTAAGATTTCCTTCTTTTTTTACAGCTGAGTAGTATTTCATTGTTTAAATGTACCATAGCTTTTTTTTATCTACTCATCTACTGATGGACACTTGGGCTGCTTCCAAATTTTGGCTATTTTAAATAACTCTGCAATGAACATAGGAGTGCATATATTCTTTTGAATGAACGTTTTGGGTTTCTTCAAATAAATTCCCAGAAGTGGTATCACTGGGTCATAAGGCAGTTCTATTTTTAATTTTTTGAGGTGACTCCATACTGCTTTTCACAGTGACTGCACCAATCTGTATTCTCACCAATAGTGCACAAGGGTCCCCTTTCCTCCACATCCTCTCCAAACATTGATTTATTGACAATAGTTATTCTGACAGGTGTGAGGTGATATCCACTGTGGTTTTAATTTGCATTTCTCTGATGATTATTGATGTTTTCATATGCCTGTTGGCCATCTGTATGCCCTCTGTGAAGAAATTTCTATTCAGGTCCTTTGCCCATTTTTTATTTGAATTGTTTGCTTTTTTTGGTATTGAGTTTTATAAATTATTTATAAATCTTGGGTACTAACACCTTATCAGATGTATCAGCAAATATGTTCTTCCATTGAGTGGGTTGTCTTTTCATTTTGATAATGGTTTTGCTGTGCAAAAGCTTTTTAGTTTTATGTAATCGTATTTCTTTATTTTCTTCTTTTGTTTCTCTTGTCCAAGTAGATATATCAGAAAAAATATTACTGTGAGAAATGTCTGAGATTTTACTGCCTATGTTTTCTTCTAGAAGTTTCATGGTTTCGAGTCTAACATTGAAGTCTTTATTTATTTTTTATTTTTTTAATATATATTTTTATTGATTTCAGAGAGGAGGGGAGAGGAAGCGAGAGATAGAAACATCAATGATAAGAGAGAATCATTGATTGTCTGCCTCCTGCACACCTCCTACTAGGGATCGAGCCCACAACCCAGGCATGTGCCCTTGACCAGAATTGAGCCCAGGACCATTTAGTCCACAGGCCGACACTCTATCCAGTCAGCCAAACCAACTGGGACTAACATTGAAGTCTTTAATTCATTTTGAGTTTATTTTTGTAGATGATGTTAAAAGGTGGTCTAGTTTCTTTTCTTCTTTTTTTTTTGCATGTAACCGTCTAGTCTTCCTAGCACCATTTATTGAATAGACTGTCTTTACCCCGTTGTATGTTTTTACCTCCTTTGTCAGGTATTAATTCTCTATAAGGGTATGGGTTTATTCCTGGGCTGTCCATTCTGTTCATTGATCTATATGTCTTTTTTTTTTATGCCAGTGCCATGCTGTTTTGATTACTATGGCCTTGTAGTAATCTAAGGTTGATGTAAGATAGGGAAATTCCTCCACTTTTTTCTTTTTCTTTTTTTCAAGATTGCTGTAACAATATGGGGTCTTTTGTTGTTCCAAACAAATTTTTGGAATAATTCTATGAAATATGCCATTAGTATCTTGATAGCATGCCTTTGCTTTTAAAGATATATAATTTATATATATAATTATTCTCCCTTAAATTAATTCTTTTAACTTAATAAAAAATTACATAGTAATTAAAAATGAAATTTTGGGATGAAAAGAAAGTAGTTTTACATATATTTGAAAAAAATGGATTATCTGAATATGATTATAATAATACCTTATATTCTATTACAGGATTAATTGAAAGAATTTACCACATATCTTATGACTTTTTACTGGAACATTGAGAGATAGGTAAGTGACAAGCATTTTTTGAAGAAATATTTCTGAAAATAATTTGGTCTAACAGTTTCCTGACTAAGTGAGCAATGCAGATTTACCTCTTTTCTTCTCAATGAAACATTAATAGAAATGTCATGTTTATATTAATTGTAATGTAACATTTTCCTATCATCCAATAAATCATATTTTCCAAGGAACTGTATTTTTATAATAATTATAATTAGGACATTGGTAATAAGACACACAAGATTAGCATGTTCTAAAACTTAAAGCACTAAAAACATGTCATTAAATGCAATGTGGTACCATACATTGGATCTTAGAACTGATAATAGACATCCATGAGGAAAATCCAAATAAAGTCTATAGTTTAGTTAATAGTAATGTACCAATCTTAGTTTCTTAGTTTTGATAAAGCCATGGTTATGTAAGATGTAAACTGGGTGAAGGGTATATAAGTTCTTTGTAATATCTTTGCAACTTTTCTGTAAATCTAAAATTATTCCAAAAGAAAAGTTTTTTAAAGCAGAAAAATATCAAGGTTTATTGATTTGAAATTATAGTTTATAAGTGACTTTTCTGTATAGTAGTTTGAAAAATTAAAATTATTATCTTTTAAAAAATCCGAATTTCATGAAATAGAGATTTAGGGAAATATGCGACTATAGTTTTCATAAGAGGTGTGGGACTTTATTTTTTGGATAGTGGTATGGTGCCTATGAACATCTCCTTGTACTTGGCTACAGCTTTGCTCTGAGTCCTTCCAGGTACTTGTGTGTTCTTCAGTAGTTTAGTACAGCACTTTCTGTTATCACAAGCAGGCCCTTTAAATGGTTTCCAGAACAGTTTTCTTTTTTTAATGTACTGTTAGCGACAAAAAGATTAGTGATGTGACTCAGTGGTTTGGAGTTGAGACTCTCTTAGTGTAGTTTGGTTCAGTCACACTTACTTGAGCTTGTAGATCAAGTACTAGATACAGATGACCTGTTGTTGTTAAAGATCATGAATAAAGATGAGTGTAACTCTTAAATAACCATTTCTGTAATTGCACTAAAATAATTTAGTGCTATCAGATAATAGAAATGATCAGTTTCCAAAATGAACTCTAGCAGTATAACTCTTTTAAATTTCTATAAATATTAAAAGAGTTTAAGAAGGGAACTCTGAAACTATTACATAACTTTTCATTTATAAAAGTAAAATAGCCATGCTGGCCTTATAAATGGTTTCCTGCTTCTATTGCCAACTTTAATGATTTTAGTTAAACTTAAATTTCATACAGGGAAATAGAAATACACTATATTTAAAGGATATAGACATTTACAACAAGAGACCTGGTCCTGAATGACTCTTACAGAATAATTGTTAGGCTTGGAAAGTTCTGTTTTTGCTTGATATTTATTTAGAATTGTTATCAATCTCATGTTAATAGAATTCACACCTTTACTTCTTAGTTGTGTAACATAACTGTGCCAACCTTGGTAAAAAAAGTTTAGAAAAATGGAGAATTTTTTTTTCAGGATAGTTTAAATGTTATTGATTATATACCAGTTTATACAACTAAAAAAACCCCAAACACCCTTTTTATCATTCTTCTATGCTAGAAGAGCATTAAAAGTGTTGCTTTTAGAGACATGCTTTATCATTCAGCTGACTGTCACTTTATGATAATCTAAAGTATAAATGAAAATAGTTAATATGTATTGAGCACTTTCTATGTACCAGGCACTTTATTTACAATGATCTCATTTAATCTTCACAAACACCTATGAGATGTTTAGAATTCCCTGTATAGCTGAGACTGAAAGAGTAACCCCCTAACCCTGAGGGTATGGGGCAGAAAGAACAAGTGCCCCTGGTGGCTGTACCTACAGTTTGGTTCATAACGTTACCAGCTTCCAGGAAATCCTGAATCCTTGGACGCATGGTCAACTTCAGATACTTTAGTTCAGTGGTTCTCAACCTGTGGGTCGCGACCCCTTTGGGGGTTGAATGACCCTTTCACAGGGGTCGCCTAAGACCATCAGAAAACACATATATAATTACATATTGTTTTGTGATTAATCACTATGCTTTAATTATGTTCAATTTGTAACAATGAAAATACATCCTGCATATCAGGTATTTACATTATGATTCATAACAGTAGCAAAATTACAGTTATGAAGTAGTAACAAAAATAATTTTATGGTTGGGGGTCACCACAGCATGAGGAACTGTATTAAAGGGTCGCGGCATTAGGAAGGTTGAGAACCACTGCTTTAGTTCTTCTGGATAAAAGGATGTCTAATCACACTTGATAACCGAGATTAGATTTTCCCATGGGGTAACTAGTCTGAAGTACAATCTCCTATTCTCTGTTTCAACCTTGATCTGGCTCATTCTGCAGTTCCCTAATACGTCAGTTGTTCTCTGTCACCTAATTAATTGCTGAATACTCACTTACTGTGTGCTTCATTGATCATATGCCAAAAACTTTTGGCAGCTCTGGGGAATATGATCTCAATGTGTCTCCTGGTCAGTGTTGAGCAACTAAAAGTTGTTAGTTGGGGTGAGTACTTGGATCCAGAAGTTAGGACACATGCCAGAGGTTAGGGATAGAACAATTGAGCAGCTGACACATAAAATGCAGCTATCCAGACTCAGTCAATAGGTGGGAGTCAGAAATGGAATAGGCACATGACTTTGAAAGGTGGTTTTTGAAGAAGATTGTGATGACTGGCTATGGACTTCATAGTTTGTAGATATAAAATAATTTCAATAGCTTTTTGAGTAAGAATAAGTTAGCAACTTATTCATTATAGTGCTTATTACGCTGAATAGAAATCTCTCTCTGTAACTTCCCCATCTAGCTGTGTCTTTCTGTAGTTCTAAATCTCTGGTCCCTCTTACACTTGAAAACATAAAATACATATAAAATTTCCCTTGCTATCTCCTCTTCTTGTTCTCCAAAAGTTGGCATTCTTCAGGGCCCAGTCCTTGGCCACCTTCTACATTTATTCTCTATGTGATCTCATGTGGTCCTTTGCTTTAAGTGCCACCTGTCCTCCCAGACTTACTTCTTTGCCTTGATCTCTCCCATGTATTCAAGGCTCATATCTATGTTTGCCTAGCCAGGTTCTCTTTTTGAAAGTCTAATAAGCATTTCAAACTTAACATGTTTGGATTCCCCTCCCAAATCCTGTTTCTGCCTCCTACTCCTTCATCTCAGTAAATGATCCACCCAGTTGCTCAGGTTAAAAACTAGATCTTTGACTTTTCTCTTTTCTTCTTAATCAACATCCAGCCCATCAGTAAGGCTTATATGTCCTCCTTTCAAAATATATATCCCAAATCCCCCTTTACTACTGCCAAGCCACTACTACTACTTGAATATAACTTATAATTACCATTATACATTCCTAGACGATAGTAATAACTGGCCTTCCTTATCTCCTCCTTGAACCTCTCCAGTTAGTTATCCATGTGGGAACAAAAGTGTTTTGTGTTTTTTTCTTTTAATGTTAAGCAGTTGCTGTCATTCCCTTTTCAGAACTCCTTAATGGCTATCCATCAGTATAAAACCCAAGCCTCACCATGTTTTACCAGACCCTACATGCTCCTTGCTGATTTTATATCCTACCATTCTGTCTTACTCACTTTGTTCTAGCCACAATTGCCTTCTTGTTTGTTTTTTTTTAATTCTCCAAGTCCATTTAGAATCAGCTAAATCTCTCCTACTCCCCTACCCTACACCATTATTCTAAACAGTCCAGCCTCTAGCCTTTTACCAGTGGAGGTGGATTTAAAGAGAAGAAAAGTACATATGCAAAGATTTTTAAGCACAGAGACCCTAGTACAGTGATAGCGAACCTTTTGAGCTCGGCATGTCAGCATTTTGAAAAACCCTAACTTAACTCTGGTGCCGTGTCACACATAGAAATTTTTTGATATTTTCAACCATAGTAAAACAAAGACTTATATTTTTGATATTTATTTTATATATTTAAATACCATTTAACAAAGAAAAATCAACCAAAAAAATGAGTTCGCGTATCACTTCTGACACGCGTGTCATAGGTTCGCCATCACTGCCCTAGTAGGAATGGTCATATTATAAATGTTGTGGTTTTATTGTTCCAAGTTTCTGTCATGTGAATTGGTTTCAAGTGTAAGAGGGTCTGGAGATTTAGTGCTACAGAAAGACATAGCTAGATCAGTGGAGAGAAGTTACAGAGAGATATTTCTACTCAGTTTAATGAGCACTATAGTGAATACATTGGTAATAGTCACATCGGCATGAAAATAGGCTGGAGTGCTTCATAGGACAATGCCTTCTTGCTTTTCTTTGGGGTATACAAATTGAGGTGATCCCCTCATGGGATGTAGTGGAGGAAAACTATTTTGAAGTGGAGAGGGGGAGAGTTGATTTCTTAAGATCTTCCTAATGCTGAGATGATATCTTTTAGAATATTTTTTTTCAGAGTAATTATTTTTAATGTCTTCTCAAATTAATCTGCCATTGTTTATATTGGAAGCTTTTACCAATTTCACCAATGAAGTATAAAGCACTTCTAGGTGAAGTTTCCAATATTTGAGATGAAAGAAGAGCTAATATCAAGGTTGATTTCCAGTCAGATTGGCCAAGTCCTCATCTAAGGAATTTATTACTTTGAGGCATTTTGTTCTCTCATTTTTATATAAAACTTATTTTGATTGATTTCAGGTCTAAAATAAGCAATATGTACATACTAGACAAGTTCCCTAGTAGATTTTAGTTATTAAGCAAAATTTTCCTGAGTTGTAGAAGTAAGGAATATGATATTTGGAGATAGCCTTTGGTCAGATTTTGCTAGCAATGGAAAATTCACCTCATCCTTAGCCTTAAACCAGAAGCACTTTGAGAAGTAGTGACTATGTTTGGATGTTTCATTGAGGGTGAAATAGTCATTTCCTTATTTTATATTAGAAAGGCAAAAATAATGATTTAAGTAATAGAGAACTTAAAGTTATAAATGCTTTCAGTTGGACCT